GTGTTTATCGCACACGGACGCGTAGCAAATTGATAGCGAGCGAGGTAAACGACCTCGCTGAAGGCTATTTCTACTGCGCATGTGCAACAATTGCATGAATGAATTTGCGGCTCGCTGTGAAGTGAGGACAGGTCTTCGTTTCAGAAGTACACTCGGCAACAGTGAATGAACGAAGAGATGCTGCGCGGTCTCACAGCGCCTACTGAACGATCCACTGTTGCCGAGTGTACATTATGGCGCAGACCTACTATAGACATATATATTAGACTCAGCATGCAACTCAGCAGCTTGGCAGAACAGTGAGAGAGGCGAAATGCCGGGGTTTTCCTTCCTCATCTGCGCAGGTCGAATGCGCAATCACCTATTGATAGCGACTAATTGACGCATGACTCGTGACAGCGAGAATACGTGTAAACGTAATCTCCATATTATCTGAAAACACTTCACGCGTTGCAAACGTTTGTCTAACACTCGGATCGATTATAATTACACCGCGTGTTCCACTTTCTCGGACAATGTCTGCAACATGTACTCAGCTGATCGACAATAGTCGGCCGTCGTTGTCAAGAGTGCGCGCAAAGGACGGATAATCCCCGATGTTTTGCCTTTCTCTCAGCTCAGCCAAACTTATTCCGTATGAAAGTGTACAGTGTGCTGAGTCTATTATACATGCTGTGGGACCTGCGCCCACTCACGTGCGTAGCAAGTGTCGCCGTTTGATAGTAGCATCGGGACGATTGAGAACGCGGTCGGACGGAAACGTCGATATCTACATTTCTAGACGCCATAGCGACGTGAAACGAAGACCATTGGAAAGCCGAGACTGCCGTGCTTCTAACAAACGTGCGCTCGTTCTTTTTTAAAGTTGAATAATTAATTCGCAAAATTAGATCATCGCGACAGGAAGTACCGACCGTCTTCGGTTGAATTGGGAATTCATTTGCGATCGAAACTGAGAAAATTCGGTGGTTTAAATCGTGAATAAATACTTGTTAAGAGCTAGTCAGCTTTTTTTAGTGGGCGCGATTTATAGGAAAAAGAGGAAATACGCAAGAGTTCCTTGTGAATTTCATGTGTCTGGGAATTAATTGAATTTGTTACTTTAAGTTGTTTTTGACATTTTGAACTGTCTGAGATATCATTAATTAATGCACAGCATGATCATATGAAGAATTTAATTCACGAAGTAAAGAACGGGATATTTCGAAGACGATAAGTATGCGGACCTATGTGTGTGCTTAAAACTCTTTTAAAACTCTTTTAAAACTTCATAGAACTTTTCTGTTTTCGTGAGCTTTCTATTAGCCAGTTAAGCCCTCGCCTATAATCTTATGACACGCTTCCTCACATAATATCGCATAATAGTCTTAAATTTAAAGCTTATCTTTGGTCTGAACGTGACTACGTATATATATATATATATATGTATATCTTATTCTACGTCTTGTTACTGACTAATTAGAAGGTCCCGTTGTTAATGAATTCCGATAGCTGACATGAGAGTGAGCTAGTTGTAATAGATCGATAAAATTTGATAATAGAGATAAACGCTCGCGCTCTGATCGCGAGAAATGTTATAATACATTTTAAAAGAGACAATACCCTCTCGTCATCACTTCGTAATTACAATTGACCGGTTCAATAACATATGACCGGAACAATAACATATTAACTACGGTAAGTAAGGTACGTAGCTTTCTCATTTCTCCGTAGTTTAGTATGTTATTGAGCCAAACTCTTCGATTATAGCCGTGCGATTATGTCGAGACAGGAACAAAATGATGTAACAGTCGCTGATAATTCGCACTGCGCATAAGTGCGCGTAGGAATTTGACGATAATTTCTCACTTCGCATCGAGGACCGATTTCTCCCACGGAATTCAACATCTCAAACACTTTCCCCTGCTAATACACGTATACACATGACGACTTCGTTGCAATTTTAATTCAAGTGAAATAAAGAGTTCGGAAATCAGACGGTGGTCCTGAATAAATGAAATCAACGTCCCCTTTGAGGCCGGATTATATCCTCTTCTTGTCTAACTTTCTTTTAACAAGAACTCCCAAACTGACGGCAGAAAGGGACATAATGCCGGCCATGGGGTCTCCTTCATTTCGCACGCACTATAAATGGTCACGCGACTATTAATCACCCTCTAGAAACCCTCTAATATCGAACGCACACGCCACGTGTAAACGTTCAACATCGAAGGAACTAGTATCTATGAGTAATCTCTCTCTCGTTAGGTTAAAATCTGCTTTTACAGTTCGATAGATAAAAATATGTAGGCTCTCTGAAAATATCTGTGTGTATATGTGTATGTGTGTGTGTATGTGCCATATCAGTACGCGTATAGTCGCGTACACGCACGCGCGCGTGTGAATGTGAGTGTGCATGCGTCATGTAGTAAAACTATCAATTATTCAAAATATGTCATTTCGTTATGTATATATGTATATATATATACATATATATCGTAAAATGGATATATATTCGTGAAGATATGACGACGATGATATATAGTTACCTCTCTATTGCGTACGACGGAATTTTAGAATAGTAATGGTTGGTTCACCGAGCGTTTTTTGTACTTTACGATATTCTGCGGCAACACTGTGAGGCGAGAACTGTGCGACGTTTTCTTGTTTTCTTCTTGTGACACCGAGAGAAATGCGAGAGAAGTCCGGTTGCACGCGACGCGCGCAATTAACGCGAATCATCGGTCGATACGCGCGGAAGGAACAAAATCCAATCGTATGAATAAGAAATAATTCGCCAAATTAACGGACTTTGCAACCGACGCTCGATTGCGCGTGAAAAACCGAATGCGCGTCCCGATGGCTCCGCACTAAGCGCGGAGGCCGACTAGACGGGGTGAAAAGGTTCTCTTTTTCGGGATCGTTTTTTTTTGCTTTGTTCACCTTTTAAATAATCCCTGAGCATGTGTCGTTCTCTTTCGTCGTGCGTGGATGTCGTGTGCTCGATGGCGTTTTTGACGAGTTCTGCAGGATCGAACGATCTTGGGTGTGCGAGCGCGCGGTCGCGCCCACCGGTTTAAGGTTAATTCTCACTACACGGTAGAAAAACATTTTCCACTACTGTGTGAAAAGTCGGTCCTTGTTAAAGTTTTGGTGTGAAACTTTTAACATACCCGTGTGTTAATTGGACGTATTGTACTTATATTATCTCAATATAATTCCCGTTGAGCCAATATTCAACATGTATAAGTATTAAAATAATACATTTTATACTTCGTTTAACATGTTATGAATATTAATTTTACGTCAATTTCTCACGTAATATTTGTGCTACTTTTCAACATATTCAAACTTGCATTAAATTAACACAAATATTTGTGTGGACCGTTTGGGACACGTGAAATATGTTAAATTTGACGCAAAACATTTACCGTGTATCCGTCGAGGCGGCGGCAAACAGGAGTCCGCCGATCCTCCGTCAAAACATTCTTCGGTCCTTTTTTGTTGGAATATTCGCAGCATCCATCGTCGTCATCCTAATACAAAACCATGGCGGGATGCTTTACGCAGGATCGACATACACTCATCTGCTACCATCTAGGCGGGTGGTGAGAATCAACCTTAACACGCTGCTATTGCGTGCAGACAATTCGCGAGAGCCCGTACGTATGTCTACGAGTCGGAGGAGGTGGCTATACGGGACCTCGTCTCCGAAGAATAGACTAGTTTCTACGGTTCGCTCCTACGACGGCTTGCGTCCCGCAAGGAGGAGAAGGAGAAGTAGAATAAGTAGGAGAAAGAGAGTAAAAAGGAGAGAGAGAGAGAGAGGATCTCCGTTTACAATTACGTCTACGAGAATAGATAGATAGAGAAAGAGCTAGGAGAGGAGAACGAGACGAAGAGAAGAAGTCAATTGGTCGATCGGTTCTTTAAAGCTTTCGGTTTTCCTCTCGTAGGACTGGCATCATTGTACCACGCTCGCTCGTAAGACCGCGATTATCGAAGACCGGTTAATTAAAAGTCCCGGGCCGGGTCAGGGAACGCTTCAAGAGCCGGAAATGCGCGAGACGACCCGGCTTGCGATCGAGGAGTCCGCTCGTGATCTCCATCCCGCTCGTTCACCGTGGAAATCGACCGGCGCACGAGTGCGGTTCTCGTCGCCCGGTTTAAAACTCTCGAATGCACCGTTAACGAACCGTCGAGTAACGAACGGCGGATTCCACGGTGCTCCCCGGCGAATTGGTCGAAACGTCCGTCATGTATCATTCATGAGGCGACCGAGCCGTCCGAATCGACGCGCGGTAGTTTCACTGCTACGCTTGCCCCGTGGCTAAACGAAACGCGGAAAAAGGAAAAAAGTAGAAACGAGCAAAACAATGTCCCCGTGTCGGCGGTACGCGAAGGAATCCCGGCGGGAAAGAAGGAACGGCTCGCTGCTTCCGTAGCGCGTCTCATCGACTGATCTCCGCAGAACCGCGTGTTTTAAGGTGATCGACGCGTTTAACCCTTTCGCAACGAACGGCTGCTCTAGCGGCCGCTCGCGAAAAGAATAATTTTGCGAGTAATCTCTGCGAAAAATTACAAAATATGTATTGCACGAAGCAACTTCTGTTAAGTCTGTTAACAGTTTGGCCGCCGCGAAAAATAATTCCGAGGGACGGAACATTTGTTTACGCTGTCGTGGCAAATAAATAAATGGACAGGGTGTTTCTTGAGTACCGTGAGTGTTAAACTTAACTTAACTTTTTGACACGCTACTTGTGTTACTTCTTAACACATTCATCTTACGTTAAATTAACGCGAACATTCAAGTGAGCGTTTCGGAAGAAAGGTCATGTGAGAAATATGTTAAATTTAACGCGAAATTGTTCACCGTGTAAAATATCAAACGGTACCTAAGGAGCACCCTGTACGTTCATGCACTTGCTGCAACACCGTAAAACTCGCTGCCCCCCCCCCCCCCNAACCCGCCGCCCCCCCCCCCCCCAGATTAATTTTCCATAAGTGTCGACCGACTGCACCGCGGTGAAAATGTTAATTTCGTGCGCGCGGTATCGCTTAAGGAAGGTCGCGAGCACCAAACGGCGTTTATCGCGTTCTGCGGCAGGAAATGAGGGAAACCAGAAGCCGTTTCGGGGGGCTATCTCCTAGGATAGTTATCACACACCGCTTTGGCTGGCGCGATAAGGGCGCCATGGGGGCGAGACGGTGCGTTCCGAAAAGGATATACTAAGGAGGCGATAATACCGGCGATAAGGGATCCCGTCGAGAAACAAAGCGGTTAACCACGCGGTGTGATTTCTCAAGCGCGGATTCTCTCTGAAACCGGCCGGTGAAAACGTCACGGTTATCGGGGTTACCATAACGTGCGATTAGACGCAGGTCGCTTTGTACCCGAGCACGACGTCAGGTGTTTTGCTGCAGGACGGACGATCGAAGTGGTACGTGGAGGAGCCGTTGTTCCTGTCGCGGGCGGACTTCGGCTGGCCGTCCTGCCGCTCCACCAGGACGTTGCTGACGCTGCTGCGGAAATCCCTGGACGAGGACTTGCCCAAGGTCTCGATCTTGTCGACGTTGCTGACGCTGAGCCGTCTGTCCCGCTGCAGCAGGCCCCTGCTCGTCTCGTCGTGGCTCCGCTCGAGGAAGTTGCACACGCTGACGCGCCGCTCGCGCAGCAGCGACTTCCCCGACATCAGCGTGGGCCTCGCCAGGACGTCCATCCGGTCGAAGTGGCAGATGCTGTTGCCGCGTTCGCGCTGTTGCAACGACACGGGCCTCGCTAACACGTCCATCCGGTCGAAATGACAAATGCTCATGCCGCGGTCGCGCTGCAGCAACGGCCGCGCCAACACGTCCATCCGGTCGAATTGGCAGATGCTCATGCCGCGTTCGCGTTGATGCAGCAACGTCGGCCGAGCCAGCACGTCCGTACGGTCGAACTGGCAGACGCTCATGCCGCGTTCGCGCTGCGTCGTCGGCCTCGCCAACACGTCCATGCGGTCGAAGTAACAGGCGCTCGACCGACGATCGCGTTGCTGCAGCGGCCGTGGCTGCTGCTGCGACGTCTCGCCGATGGAGCAGAGCGTCCTCAAGGTGTCGCCGTCGCGCTCGTCCTCCTCGTCGTCGTCGCGCCGCGCGACGACGCCCTCCGCCAACACCAACGACTGCAGGTCGAAGGCGCTCTTAGCGCGCCGCGGCGTCTCCCGGCCCATCGGCAGCAACGACGCGCTCGAGCCCACGAACACGCTGTTCTGCCGCAACCGGGCGGTCGGCCCGGCCGAGCCGAAGCTCGTCTGGTGCACCGGGTGCTCCAGGCAGTGGATGTTGAATTTCGAGTAGCTGCGGTGCTGCGAACAAGAGATCCGTTCTGACGACAAGTCCTGCCGGTCGGCTCGCACGATCTGTGTCAAACGTCGTTCACAATCATTTCTTTTTATTGAAGAAACATGAGCTTATATTCTTCTGTCTGCATTCATTTGTACGCTAGAAAGATGAATATTTTTGTAGGTTGTATGTATAGTTGTTAGTGAAAGAAAAAAATGCTGAAATATAAATAGAAATGCGAATAAAAATTGCACAGCTGTCGAACTATCATAATTCTTTCAGAGTAAGAAGTCAACGTTCATACGTTGATGTAAGAAAAACGTCTCGTGCTCACGTAGAAAATCGGATTAAAATATTTTCTTCGCTTGTATTGTATTTTCTATTTATATTTTCATTCCTAGATAATATTTATAATTGTACTGCCCGGTATTCTCCTTTCAACTCTTAGCTTATCACTTGTAATTACAGACTTTTTTTAAAAAATAGTTCAGAATTATTTAAATCATTAATGTGTTAAGTATCTTCGGGTCGCGCATGTTAACGTTAATAACTTCCAAACGAACGAATTTACAACTTCTGCGAATATATTCCCGGTGATTCATATTGCAATTAAACATCCAGATGCCACGAATGCTCCACTCGCAATAACTGAATAATGCAACAGGCCGCAATAGTCGCCTCCTTCTTCGTTAAATAAAATACTAAGTGCACAGAGTGCTTGCGAGATATGTCTTTCTCTCTCTCTCTCTCTCTCTTTCTCTCTCGCTCTTTCTTCTTCCTTTTCTCCCTCAAGATATCCATAGTCAATGAATCACGGTTATGTCGGCCATGGTGGTATTCCCATGGAGATATTTAGACCCCGGAGCTGTGTAACGGGGTGTGTTGTCTCGGCGGAAATGTGCCGGGCGGACGTGACCCGGTCGGGAACGAACGTGTGCAGGGAGGCACGTTGACGCGACTTGCTAAACGCGACACGGCCGTTTAATGACCACGAGGGTATTGTCACGATAACGAACGAAATTTGTTTCGTAATGCGCGGTTTATACGTCCCGCGATTAGCCCGAAGGACAATATCGCTCCTTCCCAGAATAAAGATTTCGCATGCGCGTGTGCGACATCCACACAATGGATGCCGCTTCGTAGGAGTGTCGGGGCCGAAATGGGGTGCAACGTTATTCTATCGAATTCTATTATATCGGCCAGGGAGATTGCTTCGCAAGGTTCTCCCGAGGGGCCAAAATAAGACCCGTTTTAAGATTTACGACGCCGCCCGCAGCTCATCGAGCCGCACCAACTATCGAGGATACTGTGCAAACGGAGACTTCCGGCATGCAACGTACACACTCATTGTGAGTCACGAGTATGTTATTCCGGACACTGAGTGAGCGAGCGAGCGAGCGAGTGAATTGGTACCGTCGAGCGTTCTATAAGAAGCGACGGGCGCTGCATCTTCCGAGATTACGGCAGCCAGGACTCCCGGCTTCGTTGAAAGGGCAAAGATGATGCGCCGCATTTACATGCATTATGCAAGAGCAGACGGAGAGCCGCGTACTTCGGGATGCTCCACTCAATTTCAAGTGTCCCCCCTTCTCTCTCTTTCTCAGTGTTTCTCGTCGTCTCCCTCTCTCTCCATCTCGTAAGCTTGCACCGCTAAAGCAACACACCGATATGACACGCAGCATGCATAAGCGGAGGAAATCGCGTCGATCGGGACAAATCGGAAGTTAAGATAAAATGGCGAGATCCGGTGTAAACCTCTGTAACTCCCCAATCGATCGGCGAGCTCCGCTCGATCTTTCTCGCGCGCGACGGAACAGTCCCAGAAGCGGAACTAATTACTCAACTCCCGGAGTTATACGACCGGGATGCTCGCGTGGTGAATTCCCACGATCCTAATTATTGGAGAATGTTCGACGAGGACGTACCGGGGTGTCCGATCGCGAGTAAAGCACCACACATCGAAACCCGTTAAGTATCTCCGGGAATTTATCTGAAACCGACAGGCGGTTCGTCATCATTAAGTCCGCGCGTGATTTCCAATCCGTCCTCGTGTCGGCTTGTTCACAACGGGCGTGGACGTGGATAGAAACTGCGAGAAATGATGTCGGATTATCACCCGTCCCGTCGACGGATAAAACGACGAAAACGTCGGAAATGTACGAGAACGATCGCTGTGCACTCTCCCTCGAATTTAGACGATCCGATCGATTCTGTTTTCGTTATCCTTCCTCTCTTTTTTATCAGCGCGCAACGCAGCGCGCACCGGGGCGCAATTTAACGGGGAAGTATTCGCGCGAAATTGATTCGCCCGACTGCGAGATCGGAATCGCGAGCGAGCTGCTTTCGTCGGCGTATTTCCGTCGCAGCTCTCTCATTCGCGAGAATCGCACGATGCAGTGATATCGTTTAACGCCGTTGCGTCGGATTACGGAACCCCGGAGAACGCGAGCGAGTCGCGAGACGGGGTAATATATTCTAAACGAAAGTACGTGCAACGTATACGGCGCAAATATGTTAGCGCTTTGCCGGAACGTCGTATAACTATGCGCCGCGCTCGGTAATGACGGAGTGCATGTCTCGCGCGCAGGCATACGCAGATTAGCATATTGCTTCATTATACGGACGTTCGTCGCGAATATCCGATGTAATATCGCTCGTCATTCGCGACCATTAACATAACTGTCGCACCTTATACATAGTGAAACCTTCAAAATGATCAGCTATTATTTACGGGAATTCGAAATCTGTAAGTGGATGTTAGAATCGAAGTAGTTAAAAATTGCTCGGAACTTACTCAAATAGAAATGGAAATAACCCTCAATGATTTTCATGAGCCTTTGATGTATCGTAAAGAAGATAGCAACATAAGGGGAATACTTTTCATTAGCGTTTCTTCCCTCTTTTCCTCTCTCTCTCTCTCTCTCTCTCGCACACGCTTAACAGTTGAAATAATTTTTCGAAGCTGATTTTATGCAGCTAATTAATCGTGTCAGTGAATATCTTGAAAACGGTGAGGTATTTGAGAAAATCTTTTGCACAAAAGTTCGATGTTTGATGTATATTTTACAACAATTCGTTTAGATTTTTTAATATACGTGTATTTTATAATGTATGGGGAAATGATTTTACTGTTGTGGCGGAACCATCGTTGCTATATAATTATATTTATATTTATCCGTGTACTTTTTATTTTTAATGATTTAATGATTCCAATTTTTATGAAAGCAAAAGTTAAAAAAATTCAATGCAAGGTTCAGCCATATTTAGTAAAATTCTTTTCTGAAGTCGCATTTTAAGGAATTGTAGACAGTGCCGTAAGTAGATTCAGACGCGCGTGGTCAGACGGATGCAGGACGGACATATGTCTGCGACTACTTATTACACGGCGTCTACAATTCACAGAAATGAGATTACTTTTTGAAATTGAAATTGCATTTGTGAGATACGAGTTGTAAACGAAAATTTGAAAAGGGAGCACTTATAAAAAATATGTATCTCTTATTTTTTTACAATATATCCGAGACTCGTCAAAATCAATGAAAGCATTTCCAGAACTGCCCTCATCAGAAGTTTTAATGTTTCATACAAAATATTATTCAAGATTATTTCGAGAACTGTGTGAAGACAAATTCTGTTCGCCTCAGTAAAAAAATTATTAGAATAAAATAAATGAACTAAATAAACGAAATAAACAAACGAAGGACTCGCTATATTTACGGATTTTTGGATCCATGAGTTAAAAAGAAAAACAAAAAACGTGTCACACACCTCTCGAGATTCACAAATGTATATAGACTCTCGAATGCATAAATCCACAGATCTGTGAATCTCTGTATTTATCCGCGATTCACTCTATCAGAAAGGAGGTATTCATATTTGCGTAGTTTGGAATATGCATGACAGATCATCGGCGAGGTGTTAATATGCCAGTCTCTCTCTCTCTCTATGTGCGCTCGCGGAGTTCTCTCTAGAGTCTCTAACCGAGGAGCCGCTGTAATTCTTGGGAAGCTCGCCGAGTGTACCGCCCGGACAATTTAGGAAAGCAATGGCAAGCGGCCGATTGCAAATGAGCGACCAATTTCCCTTTGAGAATATTGAATCTGGCCTTCCCTCCGGGGCCCTTCCGCGGGATTCGCTTCGCGGATTCGCAGCGATAACCGAGTCCCGTATAAGCCGAAGCGAGAGGTCCTGGGGATTCTTCGACGATCACGCTCGAAAGTCGCTCGAGGGCACCATCCTTGTAACTTCGCCACCGGCCGGAAGTTCTCGTTAATCGGGGACACTCGCGGAGACGGTAGTTTGCGCACGGGGCACGGTTAAATCGAATCACTCCAAGTGTCTCTCGCCAAGTTTTCATCCGCGTAGTTTCATTAGAGCAACCGGTCAAGTGGTTACCGCCAAGCGAGCGACGCGTTGTCTCAGCCTCCTTCGATTTTCCGCGTTATGTTACATCAGCGTTGCTAATTAATCTCTCCGCTACGTCGTTACACAAACCTAAAGCAATATCTTGATTGGTTCTTCAGCTTAAGCTTACGTCTTATGTTTACGTTACGGCAATTACGGCAATTCGAGTGCGGATGCTCTTGGGACGGAAGCACATGGAGAAACGTAAGCAGTAAGGAAATTGATCCACCACAGTCGATTATTCGTAAACCATAAGGAGAGTAATCGATTGTGATTAGTCAACTTGCTTAATGCTTAGGTTTTTCTATATGCTCCAGGCCTAAGAGGTTTCCCGAGTCGAAATTTCGGTTCTACATTAAGTCTGTTCAGTTGTCTTCAAAGGTCTTCAATTGTGTTCACTTTGATGCTACAAATTGGAAGTTATTTCCGTTTTCTACACTTGAAAACTAAACGTACAATTTAAAATTTCCATTCGGGAGATCCAAATTTCCTTTGTAGCATTAAAGAAGCATTATTAATCATTCATAAATTATAAATTTATAAAATTAATAATTTATAAAATATAAATTTATAAAATTAATAATAATTAATAATGCTCATTTGATGCTACAAATGGGAGGTTATTTCCATTTTTCTTCACTTGAAGACTTAATGTAGAACTAAATGGACTTAATGTAGGACCAAATTTTCGACTTGGATTTGCACTCGAATTCGCCGTAAACATAAACTCAAGCTGAAGAACCAATCAGGATATTGCTTTGGGCTACTCTAGAAACCGTATTCCGAGCTCTCTTTTATTGATAAAAGTGCCCCTAAAAGCGGTTAAAATCACTTGATTGGCTGAGGACCCACGTTTAAGACATTTTACCGATAAAATAGAATTCAGAGCTTAGAAGAAGATAGGAGTGGTGATGTGATTAGGATTCAGGTCGAGCCAACCAGTCGAATCTTAGTTACTTCTGCTTACGATATGACCGTTAGAGAAAGAGAGAGAGAGAGAGAGAACCCACTATCTCCGATTTCGCTAGAATCTCATCACGGTGAATCGCGTTAATTTTAAGAGATGCGGCTGCTCGGGGCAATTCGAGAGAAATCGAGGTCGGCTATGCTCGACATGGTGGACGCCGATGCAATCCGCGAAAATCGAACGTTTCCGCGATTGAATTACCATCGACGTAGAAATACATATTGACGAACAGCGATTCCCATCTGAAAATAATTGCTCGGAGGCCCCCGGACGCCGGGAGTGAGTGTATCTTTCCAACGTGCGGAGTCGCGTTGCACGTGCACGTCTCCCCCGCTCTTCACCTCCTTGCCTCCATCGTTACGTACACGTGCGGAAAATCCAGCTCATGTTGTCGCGCAAATATTTAATATACCCTTTATCATCCCGCCGGAACAAAACCTGGTTATCATTCCCGCAATTTTTTTATACATCGTTACTGTTTAATTGATACAACGGAAAAATACGGACGCCGACGTACCATAAGGTGAACGTGCAGCACCTCCATACGGCGCCCACGTACCTACGTATGCACGTATGTTCCATCGGAAAATCGAAGATTTTCGCGATGGGAGCAAATGAACGAGCGCGACGTGCCGGGAACTCGATGGACGGTTCGCGACACACAACCACGCGCGCACACGACGACGGAATACGATCGGACTGTCGTGAATCCGGCGAGTTTCGCCCATTTTGTCGGACATTTCCCATTCCCATTCGTGATTTGTATTCCTTTGTACAGGTAAATCCAATAGCGATATGTGTATGTACGACCGACACCACGAGATACCCGCCGCGCCCTACGCGCATTAAAGCCAATTCCAGACACGGCGTATTGTTCGCTCATCGAATTTCCCCGGCTCCGCGAGGTGATGCAAAGCCCATTCTGCGCAACGCGATATACATATAATTGCGTTGCGTAATAAAAATAGCTCCCCATCGCGTGCATGCGATTCTAGACTTTACGAGCCCGAAACTTCGCGAATGCGATTCTCGCATGATCGGAGAGCGACTCGATTCGCAGCCCGGGGCGAAGCTTTGTTCGCGCGTTTTTGTCACAGGTCGGGCTGAGCGAGAGAGTGAGTGAGCAACGTTAATTATTGTTCTACACTGTGAAAAATGGGCTCGGTTGGATCTGCCTGACAATGGACGAGCAAACGCGTTTTGGTGAAGGAAGCAAAATTTCCAGTTCTCATGGACCAAACTCGGTTCGCATAGAGAAAAATAATTTGCTGGCACAGGTGACACGGACGGTAATAATGAGCTTGGGGGATGAAGATGGATCGAAGAGATAATGTAACGAAACATCACGCTGTATCGCCTGTAACTTAGATTAGAAGATTTTCTAAATTTTATTTAATCTTTTTTTCATTATAGGATTTTATAAATTTTATTTAATCTTTTCTTTCATTATAGGATTTTGTAAATTTTATTTTATTTATTTATGAAACATATGGAGAAAAAAATAATTTGCTGGGACATATGCTGTCGCATAATTGCCAATTGTCATATCATTTGTTCGGACTAAACATGGTGCTTGAAGAAATTGTGCTTATTTAGCACAAGCACAAGCAGAATTTCGTTAATTTTACCGCTTTTTCAGGGTAAACTAGTTGCTGTATAGCCGCCATTAGCATTGAAAAATAAGGTAGCAAGTCGAAACTGACGGTACGTTAGTACAAAATTCTGCAAAATCTAAAAAAAATACAAGTGAACATTATATTACCGCTTGGCAACTAGTTATGAGATTTTTCATCTCGCAACTCTGTGATTTCTCCTCTGTTTAACCGTTATCTAATTTATTCATCCAGCCATTACCTAGATTCTCACTGAGAGAAGCGAACGTTACGTTGACTGTGTTCCAAAACTGTAGTTGACTGATATAGTAGCATTTAATTGAACAAAAAGAGCGAAGATTTCTTTATCACGATTGGTTAATTAAATTCTACTCTACCCATCAACATATCGAGTTTTGGAACACTAACTAGTAACGATGTTAGACAAATCTGTTACCTCGTAGCTAAGCTTCCACGAGATTCAATTTTTACTTAGGGTGGTTTCCAACGAGAGCAAACTCTTCGATGTTCTAATAGAGCAGCCGGGATAAATCTCGCGGAGAGATACACCGCGTTCGCGCTCTCGTTCCGTAGATTGCGATCGGGGGCGGATTAAAAACGACCAGGATCCGAAAACACGTTTAGGCACGGGCCGCCGGATGCGGGTATCCGTTATGCTGTTAACAGACGACGCGATCGATCGATCAGTGAAGATCGCACAATCCCCGGGTGCTTTCAATGATAAATTGCCCCGTGTTCGCGCGTGCTCCAGCCCGATCTTTCCTTTGTACGGGCCGAATCATGAAATATCTACAATCATCCGGGGATGGAGCCGACCCGCCACTCGGGAACGCGCGTTATCCGTTTCGCGTGGAAAGCCGCCGAGTGGAACACACGCGCGGAACAATCGTAACAAACGTGGCCCTTGAATCTCAGTTTGTATCTCGCACTCGCCGCCATAAATAACGAACGAGCCCGTGCGAATGCATTTGGCAGTTCGCTGGCTATGACGAGATTTGAGAACTCCTAAAGTGCGCGTTCGCGCGCCCGGAATACCATGAATCGGAAATATCGACAGATTTGACTTACTGAACGTGCACGCGATTCTGAAAAATGGCACGATCGCCTGAACAACGGCGGTAGGATCATCGTAAGGCTGCGATGAAGGATACGAGCGAATTTATGCGCGTCTAGGCAGAGCCCGGCACGCCGGGACGCCGACTGAGAGGTTTATCGTCTACGTGACTCGCTTGGTGTGCGCACGGAAAATATATTTCTCGCGCGTAAGCTCGCAGTAACATCGACATCCGGGGCTTGTTTACGCGTGAATATACGAGCCGACGTTGTGCGTGCCCGTTTAAACTTCACTCGAGGGAGACGATGTCTGCGATCTCGCGGATCGATCAATCCGCGCAGACGATCGCGCGGTATTCCTTTCGCAGCGAGGAACGCCTGTTAAAAGTTCCCCCGGTTGTGTTGTTTCTTGAGATGTTCACGGTTTATGTTCAGTTCACGGAACGTCAACGCGCACAGAACGTTCTCTACAGGACTTACCAAAAGTGTGGAATGTCTTGAGAACAAAGCGATTGACAAGAAAACGGTTCGGATGAAAGTTGTATGTTAAAGTGGTGTCATCGAATAATGAATATCTTATGAGATATTCATCTTGTTCTAAAAAATATCAGAATAAGAAATAAATATTCACTTTTCGATGATCTTACCCTAATATTTTTGTACGCAAAATGAACAGAGGAATCGGATTGTATTAAAAAAAGCTGTATAATTTCATTCAAAAAATGTAATTGATCTCGAAATGATTTTGAATTATTGACTATACAACGAAGTTAAAGTTAAATTTAACTATATCTCCCTTCAAATCCTACAACTTTTGTTTGAACCATTATTTTATCAATTATTTCGTCTTTAAGATATCGTTTCCACACTTTTGGTAAACTCTGTATATATAAGGTACGAGAACGTCTGGAATATATATATATATATATATATATATATATATATATCTCTCGGGTGGGTTTGCGATGCTTATTACGGTCTCTCTCGAGCTTACGAATCTCTTCCGACAGTCGGTAGGTTGGTTGGTTTAACGTGCTATGCCGTGTCCGCCCTCGGGCGATACACAACGTCATAACGCTCGCCGTTATTTTGATAATTAAATGGGGAATAATAAGGGAGTGAATAATTCCAGGGCGCGAGTCGCCGCCTGCATGCGCACGATATATTTTGGAAATTTCATCCCCATCGTGCTAATTGCGTGAAATTCGCATCCGCGGGATCCACGCATCGCGGGGAAACAGCGCGCGCGAAGTCCAATTTAATTATGCACGACACCGATACGTCGCGCAAGATCGGTTTCGCCGCTTCGCGTCGGACTCGAATGTGAAACGTGGACCCGACGGACGAAGAAATACGTGGGG